ACTATAGTTTTTAAAAATGACTCATTGTTTACCTGAAATTCAAATTATATGCTGTTCTCTATTTTGCCAAATCTGAAAACCCAGACATTTCACTTATTAAAACTGAAATAATAGTCAACACAAAATAAGGAGAATAGAGAATAATTGGTAGAGCTATATTAAAGAAAAATAAATCCCTTTTCATGAACAAACTTTATCAAAGCTAAACACAAAAAGGTTAATCTGGCTGAACAAGGAGTGTCTAGTTCCCATGAAGGCCCAGGGGAGACATGAGGAAGGTCAGAGTTCAATCCCATTTCTTCCACTCACTTTAAAAGACGCTCCTCTTTGAAGAGACCTTAGACAATCACCCTTGCTATTTAAAGTGTGTGCAGAGTGTGGACCACCAGCAGCAGCAGCAGCAGCAGCAGCAGCATCGGGTTCTGTTTGAAATGCAGAGTCCCAGCCTCCCTAGGACCTAATCAATCAGCACTTGCGTTTTCACAAGATCCCTTGAGAAATGCAGCTTTAGTTCTGCAGTTTCCAAAAACCTGCTCTGAGAAGGTGTAGGGTCCTCAGGCTTCCTCGTGGCTCAGGAAGAGCATGGCAGCAGGGGTTCCTCCCTCCCAATGAAGGAGACCTACTCTGCCCAATCTGGTTTGGTCGCAAGGTAAGATTTCAGTGGAACCAAGGCTCTGTGACCGACACTTTTTCAATTTAAAAAGAAGTCGAAAAAAATCTAGTTTATTTCATTTTCCAAGTGGGGAAACGGAGTTACAAAGGCATCATGTGACTGCCTAAGTCCTGTGATGGGAACGAACAGATGCTGTTTAAGTCTGATCCCTGCTTCTTGGTATGACCCCACCTCCCCCCGCCCTGGTTCAGTGAAGAAGGCAGCACAAAACACCAGAAATGTCCAACCAGCTGATGTCAAGTGTCTTTCAACTGAGCCTTGAATTTTAAATCTGGCCCATTTTATTTCACACTCATGCCTAGTAACTTCCTTTCAAAGCTCATCTAGCCCAACTCCAAGGACTATTTGCTTTGCTGACTGAGCTTGAAGAGAGGTCTCCAGCTGCAGTTGTGTGTACACTGCTAACTGAGGGTGCCCTGCAGGTTTGTTTATGCAGATTTCAGCTAAGTATCTTGCCACGGACCATTGAGACAGATCTGGATGACTGTTCGATTAGTAGTGCTGAAGGAGTAATTAGGGAGAATACCTGATTGCACAGCCCACCCAAGCCGGCATATCAATGTGAACATTGACTTCTGAATGTAATCAATCACATAAATAATTCTCCGGCATGAAATTAGCGATCACCCACGCATTATGCCTGCTAATGGTTTAAGGCATTACTTCCTGAATTTCTGTAATGAATTCCACTACATTCTGATTTGAATTTTTCAATTTCAGTATACATCCTGCCCTGTTAGCAAGTGATCCTGTTTCCCCTATCAATTTCTGCAGTAATGTAAATTCGCTATTCTAAAAAGAAGTCAGATTTGGGCATGTCTAAGCTTTGAGAAAGACATACCAATGCAGACTTGTGACCACAACATTTTGTGGCAGTGTTAGACATCAGGTGTCTAGACCCCCTTGGCCACTGGATAGATGCCTCCTGTTACAGCATCAACATTAAAGATTTTTCTATAAAAACCAACTATTCAGACATCCCCTCACAGTCAGAGAACTGCCCCCATTATTTTCTTTTATAAGGAAGCCTTTGAAGGACTGAAGATCGACATAGAAAAGCATTTCAGTTAGAACTAATGTATATAGATTTCCCTTAAATGTAGAAATCCTAAAAGTGTGTGGAGAGAGGCAGGAGGGACAGTGATCAGAAGAACCACCATGCAGAGGAATTTTTAAGTCACTTTTTCCCACATCATTAAAGGCAATTATCTCAGGCAAATCTATATACGGATCCTAAGAGTTTAGAGGACAAACCCTTAGATCATATTTTACAAGTGAGGGAACAAAAGCCCAGAAAAACCTGGTGATTTAAGATCATATAATTAATTTGTATTACATGTGAAAGTATTCTAGAAAGAAAGCAGAATTTTGGAAAAGTTACTACTCTTTTATATCTTTAGGGCTAAGCTGGAGATATCAAGAACATGTAAAATAATGTAAAATCAGACCAAATTTTTAAAACCCCAGTTGTATGATATTTGTTAGAGTTCAATTATGAATGTTAAGAGATCATTATCAACCAAAGGACTTGTATGCATGCTTATGAGCATAACCAAAGGACCAGACAGTAGGGGAGTGAAGGCATGTGCTGGGGGGTGAGGGTGGCCAGGGAGAGGTCAATGGGGGGAGAAGATGACTCATGTAATATTTTAAACAATAAAGATTTTTAAAAAAATATTTATTTAACATAAAGAAAAAAGAGCTATATTAAGATATCATTTTAAAAATGTATTTTATTTTAATCTAGGCAGAACACAGCAGGATTACGTGTACATACTCTCGAAGAGACCAGAAAACATAGTTTCTGGTCTCTTCGAGAGTATGTACACGTAATCCTGTATGTTCCAAACCTTTCTTTGGTCATATGTCTTTCAACACAGCATCTAGCACCACTTTTGTAAATATTTTGTGCATACGCTTTGACCCAATAACTACCTCAAATATCAAGTGGATTATATAAAACATGACTTAGTTATAAATAATATACTCTACAGATACTTAAAATAATTTTGTAACAGTTCCAAAGTAGGGAAGCATAAATCAGATTGTCAAACCTCAGAAGGAAAGTAGGAGAGAGTGGAGGTAAGGGGGAGAGATCAAGCAAAGGACTTGTTTGCATGTATATAAGCCTAACCAGTGGACACAGACATCAGGGGGGTGAGGGCATGAGTGGGGGTGTGGTTTGAAAAGGTAATTGGGAGGATGAGGACACATATGTAATACCTTAATCAATAAAGAAATTTAAATGCAAAAATAAAATAAAAAAGAGGAAAAAAATAAAATAATTTTGTAGAGGCATAGTTCATGATTTTTTTTCAGTGTTTTCTTGTTGGGGGGAGCTTTTAAAACAGTATGTGTAATGATTCATTGTTCTTAGAAATGCATGTAAGTGGTAGGCACTGAAAGTTGAAGCAAATTTATGCATGAGTGTAAGGATCTCTAGTGATTTTAAATGTTGATGGGGCAAGTCTGTGTGTGTTTTTGTAACAAATGTTAGAAAAAATCAAGAGGAAGGTAATTAATTCAGAAAATAAGTTAGGATTATGTTAACAGAGGAAGCTTCACTCTCCAAAATGTTTGTACTTTATTTTGAGGACTTGTGTGATGAGTTCACAAAGGACACAGTGAGCATTATTAACCCTGCATTCTTTTCAGCTAATACAAAGAATAATTAGGTTAGTGTTTCTGGCTTATTAACAGAATACTTAAGTTGCTGGTAAGGGTATATTTTTAAGACTGAAATAAAAATAGAATCATGTTCACAAATTTCAGATAAACTATATACAAGCCACTGAATTTTTTTTTTTTTTTTACAGAGAGGAAGGGAGATGGAGAGAGAGTTAGAAACGTCGATGAGAGAGAAACATCGACCAGCCGCCTCTTGCACACCCCACACTGGGGATATGCCCGCAGCCACTGTACATGCCCTTGACCGGAATCGAATCTGGGACCTTTCAGTCCGCAGACCGACGCTCTACCGCTGAGCCAAACTGGCTTCGGCCAAGCCACTGAATTTTAAGAATTAAGTTCTACAGTGGGGAGAATTAAATTTGGAAGTAGATAAATCTCATTTTAAATCTTGGGCTCTGCCAGTTACTAACTTTACAAGTGTAAACAAAATGTAAATGTTTTGAGTTCTGCATATCAAATGAGATCATATATTTAAGTCACCTAGTACAAAACATGAACTACTGTCAGGAGCTTAACAAAATATAAATTTCACAGGCATCATTATCAACATTCTCATTATCTGGGTTGTACATTAGCCCAAGTTCATGGGGCCATACTTGCCAGCCAGACCCATAGGCCAGGTAGATCTTGGAAGCGTGGGAATTCAGACAAAGACTTGGTTGTGCTGCTTGACTTAAAGGACGAGGACAGTTGTGGCTTTAGAAGTCCATTTGTGAAGTTACTGAAACCAGGGTAGGAGTTAAAAATGGTGAGTACAATGGCATATTGGCATTTTCCCACAGACAGGAGTAACCATGAGTTACAGATCCATCTGCCTAGAGATGCTTTGTGTATTTCTGATGATGATGGTTTTTAGTTCCAACAGAGACATACTATTTTTTAACCTACCTCTCTTAGATTTAACTTGTTCTTTTGAAAAATATGAATAATTCAGTTTCACTTACATCATGGACTTAATCAGCTAACACATATAAAGCATTCTGACCACATAATGTTACATAGACAGTACATAATATTATTAGAAGGCAAAATGTAATTACCTTGATTGGTATTTTTCCAGAAAGTAGAACTAATATTCATACCTTCTACAGCCATTATTCATTGACATTGAAATAAGATTGGCAAGTCTAGAAAGCTGCCAAATGCCAGGATAGCTACACTAATATTTAACATTTTTTTCACATCAAAATTCTTTAGGTAGAAATAAACTTCCTTCAATAGTTTTTTTTTAATCTTATTTACTCTAAAATTGCATACAAATAAAAAGACTAATAGTTTCTAATGTTATTATAACCATAAAATGTATTTTAGTGTTTGTTTGATGGATGGAGAACTGGGAAGACATGCATTCCTTTGTCAATAGAAATAACCTGTATTCTAGGACTAGTGACCATACAGGCAGGTATTTAGCTCATAGTCTCACAATGGTTCATGCCCCTCAATGCTGGACTCAGTTTTCATGGCATGACATCTGTTAATTTTCAAATGCAAAAAGGAATATATGTGAATTCTCAGCTTAATAAATGATATATACTAAATTTCATTCAGAAGTATATCTAAACTATTTGACAAGTATATTTTTCTTCTGATGTTATTATCACCCTGGTGTTCATTGTTTTTTCATTTTCTCTTTCAGAGACGCCCAAGCAGGTGGCCTGCGATGAAATTTCGAAGAGGTTCTGGCCATCCTGCTTATGCAGAAGTGGAACCCGTGGGAGAGAAGGAAGGTTTTATTGTCTCAGAGCAGTGCTAAGGTTCCTAGGACAGAACAGCACCAGTGCTGGCTTACAGGTCTTCAGACTAAAACTCTTCCTATACTGTTAAGACAAAAAAACAAACACACACATACACACACACACACACACACACACACACACACACACGCACGCACACACAAGGAGCCCTAAGCTGCTGTAGCTGGAAGGAAACAAGAATTTTGGATAAGCCCAGCCCAGGAAGGGTAAAAGAAAAACTAAAACTTATACAAGGCACCATTGGCCACTGAACATAGAATTCCTTTGAGGATGGCATCTATAGCTCACCCAGAACATCTCATGTGGACTTTCCAGATTATGACAATATGCCATCGGCTAGGTGCAGGGGTGCGAAAGGATCAAGAACAAAAACACTAATAACGAAGCTTTAGTTCACAAAGAATCTACCCCTTGGATTCGTATATTCTTCCTGATGTCTCCAAGTTAACCGTGTTCCAAAGCCTGAACCCTTCCATCCAAAAGAGCAAGGATGAATGTCAAGATTGCTGAGCAAATAGCTCATGCAGGAACAAAAACAAATCCAAAATAAGAGATTTTCTATCTTCTCATCAGACGTGTGGTCCAAGGATTGTGTTTTTCTGGTCTACATCCACCTGTTCCAACAGGCTCATTACTTTAAAGGATGAACTTTTTATCTGCGGCAGGAGGTTTAAACTGTGCTTCCCCCTTGTTAATGAATGCCCTTTTATGAGCTGTGACAGGATGTCCAACCTGTTAGCTAAGGGTTAGGAAAGAGGGAACAGCAAATGAGGCTTTCTGTTCTCGCTCCTCAGAATAAAACTTCTGGTTCGCTTTACAAAGCGCTGCCTCCATCTCCCAGCAGCGAAGTCCTATGAAGCCACAGTTGCTCTTGGCTGGAGGAAACAAAAGGATGAGTAGCTCCTTAATGGTTTTTTAAACAAAAAGATTAAGGGATTCTAAGTATATGGGTATTTTTTACTTTTCGCCGTTTCAGAACTAAAGGCCCATTTCATTGTTGATTCCCTTCTAAGGAGCCATTCAAGTCAGCATATCCATGGTGATAAAAGAACGAAAGAACCCTGCTGAATCATACAGTAATTTTCTTTAAAGCACATAGTAGTTACATAAATATATATAAATATATTTTTGTTTATAACTAACACAAGGCAGGCTCTTGTGACTCTAAGAGTGCATTTTTGTCATCGAGACAAAACAAATGCAAGATGCATTACTGCATACTTCCAGAGAGTTGTAAAATAATCCTTAATATTAGAATATTTTTATGTCACTTAGCAAAAGTGGTTCAATTGGTTGCAATGCCAATCATCGTCCTGCCGATTTGAGCCACCATTTTATTCATATGAACCCCTTCCCTCCCTGGCTAAATAAACCTGATGCACAACGCTCCTTAAATGGAGCTGTCATTTGTCCTGTAATGAAAATCCAGATCTTGAAATTTCCCCCTGAACAGAAATAGAAGGAGGAACATGGCTAATATCTATTCATTTGTCCTGTAATGAAAATCCAGATCTTGAAATTTCCCCCTGAACAGAAATAGGAGGAGGAACATGGCTAATATCTATATACTGAGCTCCTAAAGTTTAAAATTAAGGGACTGTGCATACAACTTCATCACATCTTGACCCATGAAACTTACATCCTGTGCCAAGAAGCTGTTGGTTTTAATAGGGTGCAATGTCTACCATTTGCAGATTCTGGTATCAAGAAGCAGAGATCTCTTAAACAGCACTTTACTAACAATATCCAGTATCTACATGGAAGAACAGCAGCTCACTAGCGGTATCATATTAATCTACACAACTTTCTGGTGTAAACTAGTGCCATTTTCCACCACATGCAGTTTGTTTTACATTTGTAAGTACCTGTTGAGGGTGGTAACTTTTTCCTAAGTACTTAGATAACAATTGCAAAAAAGTTTGACAGACAAGGTGATTGGAGGATGTGATGACAATCTCTCTGCCGTTCAGTTTGTATGAACTACCCCAACTTGCTTTTGTGTGGAGTAGGTTTGATCAGATAGCGATAACCAAATGACTTGCCAATGTAACTGGTGCAACTGGTATTCTATAAAGATGTAAGGGACACTTCGACGATTCCTTTTAGGATAAGATGATGCTTCTTTCACTAGCTTTTGTGGTAGGTGTGGCTTCTCACAGCAGTTGATTGACAGTTATAGAAATACTGCCTATATATCCAACTTCTTACACAACTCTTTGAAATAGTAATGTTATCTTTATACTCTCCCATCTTTCATTTTTTTTATTCAAGAGAATAGGCAATTCTATATTAAAAAACAAAAAACAAAAATCGTTCAGTGAACTAAAGCACCAAGTGATAGATACAACTTTTTGGAAGGAAAAAGGCTGTGAAGTGTGGGAAAGCTTTCTAACAGAACTAAGAGTTAAAGGTGGTAAGATGTTTCTGTCGCATATGAATCCGTTAGTGGTAAGGGTAAAGGCTGGCTGAATCCCTTTTTTTATGGAACTTTCAACCTATTTTATATGTCTCTGTTTCCTTCTTGGTGACCATTTATTGAAACGAAAGAGCAAACATACACAAAGTTTCGGGAAATTCAGAATAGATGCTGATACTTTGAACTGTACATATATAATATATTAGAAAGGGAACATCTGTACACTGCTTAATAAATGATGAACATAGAGAGAGAATAACAATTTTAAAAATTAGAAGTAGCAAAAGAATATGTGCAAACTTCTGCAGAAATCAAGTGAATGGTACAATACAGGGAGTTACTTATTTCATCTTCATTATTTGTAAAAGTAATATTCAATGATTGGATAAAAGTATTAAAAGTCAAGAAAAATGCCTTACATCAACCAGATAGTAGTGACCACAATGTTGCTTTGTTTATAAAGAGTTTGAACTTCCAGATATATTAACAAATAGAAAACTAAAGATACATGATAACCTACAATTTGCCCCAGTCATTATTTTAGTTCAAGATACGTAGAGCATTTGCTAATCTGTCACATGTAGCTTCTAGAGCTGGTCCAATCTTATATTCCCTAGAAAAATGTGGTTATTTGGATGTAACTTATTTAACATTAAATAAAAATCCAGCTCTTCACTCACACTAGTTACATTGAAGTGCTCAATAGCTACATGTGACTTGTGGCTACCATATTAGACAATACAGAACATCCCCATCCTCGCAGAAATTGTATTATATGATGCTTTAGAGATCTTTCCTTCCAACCCTCCCTCCCCACTTGAGGAAAAAGAAGGATAGAAAAGATTTAGTAGTTCTTAGCTAAACTAAGCATTTTTATTTCAAAGAGGCATAATGGAATAATGAAGAGAAAAAAAAAAAAAAATACCAGCTGACACAGCTTTGAGTGTCCACTATGTTATTTTGGCAAAATCACTTTAACCTTCATGAGTCACAGTTTGCAATTTGGGAAAATAAAAAAATTTGCATCTTATCTTTCCTGTAAGATGATTATTATGCAGATTGATTAAATGCACAGATGTACAGACTTTTAAAACCATAAGCCAATGCAACCCAAATAAAGCACAGATCTTGGTTCAGTACCAGCATACATTTGCATGCAGAGGAAGAAAAGTTCATCAGTCCACAAAGCATTCAAAGACAATCAGATCAATACATTTCTTGAAAAACTGCCAAAGGAGAATACATTCAAACCAGACACAAATTACTTAAGTTTCTTTTTTTCCATCTTAATATTTTCTCTTCCGAATTCCTCTACATGACTTCTCTCCCAGCCATCTGTCCTCTCCCACACCAAAGGCCTCTATGTTCAAAGTTCAACTGGCTCACTTCTTTATCAAGTAAAGTTATTAGCATCTCTAGTTTCTTCTAATTCCCCAGTTTATTCTTCACAGCAAAGGGAGGCCTAGGAGCTGACCAGCAGACTTCTCTTTAGAAGGAAATACCTCAATATTAAAATATTTTTTTAAATCCTTGTAATGCAAATGTAAGGGCTGTCACATTAAAAAATAAATATGTGGAGCTTAATTTTAATTGTAAAAATTTGCAAAGGAAGACTATATATTGCATAAAAGGAATAAAATTAATTTAAATTATGCTAATATGCAGGTAATACATTTTCTCAGATTAGTATAATTTATTAACTTGTTGGCAAAAAATTATTTGTTATTTCTTCATTCTGAAGAAGTATAAGTTTGGTGATGCTCCTAGGACCTATTGTATATTTGAGAAAAAGTTTTTCTATAAACCATGTTATGGTCAAGACACATCCATCCCTTGATAAGAAATGAATATTTAAATAAGATTAACTGAAAAATATAACCTGTGGTTATGGTTTCTCCTTTATTTTGTTCTGTATTTCTTCAGACATTTTTCAGATATTTTATTACTTTATGTGCTTTTACTAATTTCAAAAGATTGCTCTTGCTTTTTCTTTCTCATCCTTACCCTCACTCTTGGCATGAGCATCTGTATGCCAGCATCATGGGAGGTCATCTAATTCAACTTTTTCATTTCACAGATAAGAAAATTGAGTCCAAGAGAGAAAGTAATTTTCACATTGTCAAAACCAGGTCTTGAACTTGAAACTCCTGTCAGGTTATTTTTGTTCCAGTTCTTGTCTATACTCCTTTGTCACATGTAAGGTCAACCAAGCAGCTCAGAAGGCACAGTCCTTCTAAAAGCTAGCTTTGTGTGTGACTGTCTGCTCTGTCCTGTAGAACAGTGGACCAGTCTTCCTCTATCATGTTGCTGTTTTAAGAATGGTGCCATTTTAATAACAACCTGTGGCTTCAAGTTCTAGCTATTACAGGGTTTTGTTTGGGTTTTCCTGTTCTTTCCCTCCCCATTCGTACCTGTTACTATCTAAGTTAACAGTGCTATTTCTCTTTTGCCATTTAAAATTTTTCTGCTTTTGTTTGATTTCTATCCCAGTGTACCTGAAAATGAATAATATTCAGAGTATCATTTATATAATCACAATTTTTATTTGCTTTCTAAACTGAATTTTTTTTGTCCTAAGAAGGTTTTCTTTTTCTTAACAAATATTATGAGGTCTGCAGCATTACCTATTACATTTATACTCATATTACATTGTTTTTGTAAAGCACTTTACATTTTAAACAGCACTTTCATTCATTCCTTTATTTGTTTATTCATTTAACCATTCAATCAACATAAATATTTATTGAAGATCTTGTGGCATATAGTACAATAAATACAAATAGTGATCATTGTTTGTAGTATGATAAAATCCTCAAACACAATTTGGCAAGAAGTACGACCAATATTATTTCTCTATCCAATTCCAATTTCCTTTTCTACTTAGATAAAGAACTATCAAATATTTGCCTGAAGAATATTTATGAAAAATGGGACATCATAGCACTCACATCTGTGCTATTTGAGCTATTTTAAATAATCTGTTCATTTCATTAATAAGAAGAAAATTATATATCCAAAGTTGTCCTGGACACAGGAGAACTTTCCAGGACATTTGAATTCTTTCTGACTAAGCATAATAGTTCACCTTCTTGCACCATTATCTGTTGCATTTTTTAAAATTATCAACATTATATTTTTTAAGATTTTCCAGAAGCACCAGTGTATCAAAGAAGCATTTGCAGTTTAGGTGTGTGTGGCTCTTTGTCATTTATTAGACCATCTCAAGTGTTCTCAGCTTCAGCACTCTTGACACTTTGGGACTCATTCGTTGTTGGCGAAAGGGGGTGCAAGTCCTCCCAAGCACTAGGTTGTTTGTCAGTTTCCAGAGCTTCTATTGACTATGGTATATGCCAGGAGTGTCTCTCTCTCTCTCTCTCTCTCTCTCTCTCTCTCTCTCTCTCTCTCTCTCTCTCTCTCTCTCACACACACACACACACACACACACACACACACACACAATGCAATTGTGGCAACTAATGTCCCTTGGAGGGATTGGGGAATCTACTGAATTAGCTAGTGAGCAAAATATATCAGGATAAAAAAAGGAAATTTTCTGTTTCCCTTCTCATTTAATGCTTATCATGGATAGGTTTTTTATTTACAATAAGACTTGGAATCATAAACTCTTTGCATTAGATAGGACTGTAAAAAGTCACTAATTCAGCCACAACTCAACATCATATCCTTATCTATTTCTCCATCTCTTGACTTTACAAATGTTTTAGGAGAAGATTTGTTATCTCTGAAATTTGGTAACTAGAGATAAGGGTGTTTGACAGTTATATTTACTGCTATATCAGCTACTGTGGTGCTAAGTTTGTGGACTTACTGTAGTATCTCAGAAACTAGTATCTCAGAGACTTTGCTTTGAGGAGTTTTCTTTTGATCACTTCACACATCTACAGATCTTCTTCCTTCATCTTTGCCTTCAAAACATGCAGAAAAGTTGAAGTTTGGTGTTTCTAATTTTACGTATATCTGGATGTTCTATTTCTGATACTGATTTTTTTTTTTTGGGGGGGGGAGAAAAAAAGAAAACAAAACAAAAACAAAATATTTGACTATCCCAAGTAACTGAAAAGTGGGAGTTTCAGGTCAGGCCAAAGTTTTTACTAATTTGATGTGCCTTATGTCAGTTTTCCTGAAGGGTCATTAATTTCCTATGTGTAAATCTGAATGCCATCCATTTGTACTTGTGTCTCTTCTGCATCAATTTAAATACCTGGAAAAGTTATACAAAGTCAGCCTCTTGGTATTCCCACAAATAATAACAAACCCCCAACTGGAATGTCATCTTTCCCTTTACTCCTTTGCAAAAATACCAACCCAGACTTTGAAAGCATTCATAATTATTGGCTAGTATGGATACACAATTAAAAGCCTTCATTGCAAAGTCTAAGGGTATAGAATACTGACAAGTGAGCTCTCATAAGACAGTCATTGAAATCAGAAAACCATAACCAAGGAGAGCCTCAAGTGTATATATAATTTTCTACTCTACTACTGTTATGTCAGGCAATATGGTGTTACTTAATATTTTGATTAAGTGGATATTCAATTTCAAATTAAATTGTAATACAATTGCCTAGTTATTGCCTCAGATAACTTTTAAACTATTTAGTGCCCACTGTTTTCACAATGATTATTGCAAAGAAGCAAGGTTATAATTATGAGAGTCAAGTTACTAATTTTTTGAATCAATTCTCCATAGAATTTATGAATTACATCATCATTGGCTTCTCAGTGTTAATTCTTGTTAATTTCCAGATCACTGTCTACACTGAAAGATTTATGTTGCTTTAAATCCAGAACAAAAGGCTGGAAAAAAATAATGCAGATCATATGCCAGTATGCATCTTTTTCTAATTTCTAAGATTTATTAGCATTTAAGAATAACTAAGAGAAATTATCTCCTAAGGAAATACAGTCAAAATTTTTGACATATTGATTTTTAAGCATAGTCTCTCAGTCCCTATGCATTATAAAACTATATATTTATAGCTCTTATTCATCACCCAACTAAAAACCTGTTGTGCCTATGACACATAGTATGAAACTAATTTTAGAAGTTTGCTATGTGGGGAGATATAAAAACATATGAGTGGGTGGATGGGGATCATTCAGAAAAAAAGTAAATATCAAAATATGCTACCAAAGCAGAGTTTTCAACTTCTTCAGAGCAAGGTGCAAATAAATATTCAATTAGGATCAGCTAAAATTTAGGTCATTCAGATACTAGAGCACAGATCCTGCAAATTATGCTGGAAATATATGACATACAGAAAGCAAAGGATGCCCCTAGCTCATCTAAAACTCAGCCATCATCTGCCTGTACTTCTATGGCACCAATTATAAATTGCTGAGGCCTTTGCTGCAGGGAGTAGGATCGGGTTACTTATGGTCAGGGAATAACCAGAAAGAGACTTGTATTTATCTTCCTGTGACTTACCAGGAATGTTCTTTGGTTCCCTTATCCCAGGGGCCAGGAGGGAGCCAACCACACCCAGGCAGTAAGATATGATGAAAACAGAAGTAACTTTTCTGAGGAAAATATAAGGGCACTTTCCACTATGACCCCTAGCTGGATCTCTATGGAGTTTGATCATCACAGGACCCAGACTCAAGGAATATTGTCTAGAAATTGTAGTCGAGTCTAGGTCATCATTTTAAAGGTGTTTTAACAAAAATACACTCATTTTGTCATGTTAGTAACAGGGCAATAAATTCTCAAATTAAGTGTCCTCCACCAGGCTACTCTGAAAATACCATTATGTGAAATCAGAGCTTCTCTTGCTAAGAAATGTTAAAATCATTTTAGGGAAATGAATTAAGTTTCTTTAGACACAGGCATTTTGTATATATTATAACTAAATCTTGGGGCCCTGTCTGACAGGGGACAGTCTTTTCAGAGGTTGTTCAAAACAAATCTTTCATTTGCGTAATTTGAGGTATTTGGACAGTGCCTAGGAAGTACATTATTTTCTGGGGGGAAAGACAGCCTTTTTTGCATGCCAGCTGGGATCATGGGAACTCCCAATGCCAGGAATTTACTACTGTTTCTGGTAACTCTGCTTGTAGTAATTTCAAATGTTGAAGTGTGAAAGGAAAAGTTGGACACCAGGGGGCTGTCTGTGTCTTATGCCAGTTGCACCAGCACACAGAATATTTGTAAATGCCTTTTCGAAGGGGGGATAATTGTCCCCTTTGTCCGGATCACAAAGCCCACTGTGGTGCTGCTGAGAGAGAACTGCGGGGGTAGAATCTGACCTTCTAATCTCAATCAGCCTCAAGCAAGAGGAAAGATTGTGTGGGTGAGCACAGCACATTGCAAGCTAGGGTCTCACTGTTTTTCATCAAATCAAGGACATGTTTTTCAGGTGAAGGTTAATTTTACAGAAGTTTTCCAAAACTTAATTTAATACGGTGGTTGGAAAACTGTGCATTTTGAAGTTACTCCAGTCCTCTGGGCATCTTTTTTGTTTCCTTTTCTATGTGAATAAGACATTCCAAGGCTGAATTCTTCATGAAAAAGGAACGATGTATATGCCACAATGACCTCATGCTTGATGTACCTGAACCTGCAAATGTAAAAATGATTGTATCTAAATTTGCACTAATGGTGTCTGATGGCAGAAGAGGTGTGATCTCTACTGAAATCCACTGTTTAAATTCCATAATTCAGATGCTACACACTTCTATAAGCTTCTTGATTATTTTCACTGTAAGAAAAGTTATCTAAGTTTGAATGTATTTCCTTATAGTTCATTAATTTGCTATCTAAAGATCCCTATGATTGCAATAATTCATTAAGTATTCTTCACATGGCTTCTTAAGTCAAGGTTTTCTACAGTTCTTCTGGTTCTACTTACACTACATGGGAAATCTATTTTTCCCCCTAGTAATAATTTTGTAAGAAAGCCAGTGTATCTATCGACCACCATTGTGACAGAACTCATCTTTAAAGGTCTGGAAGCAGGTGGTGACCAAATGTTACCTATGTTCTCTCTGTTGAATGCTATCTTCAGAATTAAATCATATTTTGTCTTGTTTTCATTTTCAGTTGAAGTCAACAAATTTGGGATTTTAGAAAGGGGAGAAGGGAACAATTTGTGTAATACTGCTGTCATATTTAACTACATATTAAAACAATAAATGATCATTTTGTTTTAATTTCTTAAATATGTCTACCCTTTTCTTTCAACATGATTTTGTTTCATTTCCACCTTTAGTTTAGAAACATTTTACCTATTGCAGAAGACAATCAGTGAAGAGTCCAGAGCTACAGGATAAGGGCACAACAGGAAATCCTTTTCCTTCTAAGCCTGTCTGCGTGAAGGCACTGATAGCAATTAGAATGAACTGTAGAAAAGGAAGGACCTAGAATGGCATAGATGCAAATGTGTGGAGACTTGGCCCTTGTCCACAACTCACAGAGCTCAAATGCTGAATTATTCTGGATCAGAGAGGTGAGATTTTAGCTGCTAGTTTAAATCCTGATACTGGAATAAGCCAGGGTGTTTCACTTCAGCTTTTGCCTCTGTCACTCGGCTTGGTTTATGAGCTCCAGTGAGTTTTCAAATGAATTATTGAAGTTGCTCAACTATTCCATCCCTTTTCCCAAACTGGAAATGATGCATGTATTTCTCAGGGGCTTTTGAATGTGTGCCTCAGCTAATATATGGAGAATGTCTGAAGTGAGATGTTATGAATTCCAAATATTGTTTCCCTGTTTCCTCATCCATTACTATTGAACTATCTTTTTAACAACACCAAGCACGACAGTCCTGAACCCAGGGCCAGGAAGTGGGTGCCAAAAGCTGGGGAGAATTCCAATCAAAGATTGAGCAATTGCTCTGTGCAACTCATTTCTTATTTTTTTTTTTAAATCTTATGTCTGTGTGGATCTTTTGGACTATATTCATTATTTTTTTATATCATGGAGTAAATTCAAAACTTCTGTTTTAAATGGTGTGAATTGTCTTTATGATGCCAAAAGTGAAAAATTACTGATGCAAGTAATGCAACTTTCCCTAGCAATAGAGAGTAATGTCAGTGCTTTTAAAAGCCATTAGTGTGTACCATTTAATTAATAATGCAGGGCAAATAAAGAAAAGTGCTAATGGCAATCACACAACTTTAAAATTAGCTATAGGTGTATCTCCAATGAATCTGGAGATCACATCTCCACACTTGTCCTTTATTTCAGAATCGGAACCCTCTGAAAAGTACTTGGGAGTGTTTCCCCTTGTCTTAGCAAACATTTATTACACATCTAGCCTGTTTATGCAATCTGCTTGACTACAAAGCTAAAAAAAAAAAAAAAACAAGGTCCCTGCTTTTGGTTAGCCTACAGTATAGAGGGAGAGACAAACATTTAAACCAATATGCTAAATAATGTAGAATACGTCCCAGAATATAAATATTTACACAGTACAATCAGTCACAGAGAAGGGAAGAGTTTATTCAGTATGGAATGGGTCAGGAGAGTTCCCACAGAACAACTGATATTTGAACTTGCTCTTGACAGGTGAGAACAATTTCACCAGAGACAGCACAGACATAGTAGGATTGGGTGGTTGTGAGCAAATAGACTGGCTGTGAAAGGGGAGCAAAGAGCAGATAACTGAAGAGTAAGCTGAAACAAAATAGTTAAAACACTGATGACATTCAAAGGTCGTCAGAGTCTCTCCTCAAAGCAGTAAATGCAATTGAAAGTTTCTGAGCAGAGGGGCCATATAAATCCAAACTACTTTAGAAGGATCACCTGGGTGATGTTACAGGAATGATGATGTGAGAGATTCCCTTGGTCTCTCCTCTTAAAGTTTCAACAACTTGAACAATAACTCAGGATTCCCTGCCCAATGCTCGAGCAAGGCTGAAAGATCTGCTCATTGAAATACCTAAAAGTGGGTAAATGGGAGCAAAAGGGGGAGGGTGGAAGGGAGAATGACTTAGATGAGCCATAGACACAGCCTTGCAGCCAGGAACACATAGTGAAGCTCAGCCCAGGCAGGGGAGGGGCCAGTAGTGGCTGGTGCTCCCTTCATTTGGAATGAGCAGAGAGACTCAATGGGCATCCCTGAGGAGTGAGTAGTATGAACTGCAGCTGAGCCCAGAGACTTGGAAAGGATACAGCATGTGTATGTGGCTATGGTTGTCATTCCAGGCAGAGAACAAAGCCAAAAAGCGCTGCCATCCTGTAGCCTCCCAGAGCTCACCTTCCTTCACTCCCTGCATGAGGTTGTGGAACACAACCCCCAGAACTGGTACTGCAGAATCTCTTTCTTTCCTGAGCAAAGAGTGCACTCTGTGAGCAGTCCCAGGTCAGGGTACAGGGGACACACTGTAACGAGGTCGCCATTACAGGGAGGGAAAAACAACAAAGAAGCAAGTTGGTTCCTCTGGCCTATGCTTCCCCCTCACATTGCAGCTGCCCTGGCAGGGTCTGGCTACAAGGGCAGCACTGGGATTTCACAAAGCTAATCAAAAATGTGATTCAGTGCCACCTACTGGGAAATAAGAGACCTCTTTGTATTAGTCTGCTAGAGAAATGCAACTCATATCTAGATGCCTAGACAGAGAAGGAATGCATTGAATACCATGAATAACTAATAATGAGACAGCTCAGAAAGAAAATGAAAAATCTCCAGAAAATAAACTCAAGGGCATGAAATGTGATGTAAATGATAGAGAATTCAAGATTATAGTTCTACAAAATAGTTGACAAGATGTGAGAAAATACAAACAGGCAATTTAATGCATGCAGAAAAAAAATTAATGAACAAAATGAGTACTTTACTAAAGAAACTGAAACTTTAGAAAAGAACCAGACAGAAATTCTGGGGATGAAGAACTCATAAAAGAAATCGAGAATAAACTAGCAACATAGAAAATAGAGTGGACCAGATGGAGAAAAGGAGATAGAAATCTAAAACTTATACAGAGGGAATAAAAGAGAGACTTGAGCATAAAACAAATTTAAAGAACTCTATAAGAACTACCTGCCTCTATCAGAAAGAGCAATATAAGAATAATAGGCACACCAGAAGAAGAGAAGAAGAAGAAAATGGAGAGTCAATTTAAACAAATAGTGGCTGAGGACTTCCAAAATCTGTCGAAAGAAATAGATCCTCAAATCCAAGAAGCAAACAGAACATCTAGTTTCCTTAATCCTTCTCCAAGGCACATTGTATTAAAACTGTCAAAAATTAATGACAAATAATTTTCAAGCCAGAAAAAAGAAGAAAGAAACCTATAAAGGAAAGCTAATTTATTTATCATGGGGCTTCTCAGCAGAAATTCTACAAGCCATAAAAGAGTAAAACCAAATATTTAAACTACTAAACAAGAGACATTGCCAGGAAAGAACACTATATCCAACAAAATTATCATTTAAATATGAAGGAAAAAGAAAGACTTTTCCAGTCATATAGAAGCTGAGGAAATTTATCACCAGAAACCTCCATTGCAGGAAATACTGAAGGGGTTGTTCTTCCTGAAACGAAGAACAAAGGTCACAAAAGCTATGCTTAAGATCACCAGAAAATTTATAGCATAAACAGAGATAATTTTAGACAACAAAAACATAAAAGTGGAGGAGGTGAAAGTCTGAATTTGCAAAGGAAGATGGAGATCAGATGCATTCAAAAGAAAGAGGACTACTGTTTATATAAATCTTTCTTTTTCATAAAACTAATGGTAACCACACACATAAACCCCAAAACTGAGACATGTAGTATAAGAGGAAACAGAGCAAAGAAATATGGAATACTACCAAGAAAAACAATAGAAACACAAAGGGAAATAACCAATGAAGGAGGCACAGAGATAACAGAAAACAAAAGATAAAAATGACCATAGAAAATCTTGATACATCAATAATTACTCTAAATGTAAATGGACAGAATTTACCAATAAAGAGGCACAGTGTAGCAGGTTGAATTTAAAAACACAACAACCATATACTGCCTTCAGAATACATAACTAAGCTGTAAAGATAAAGTTAGACTCAAAATAAAAGGATGGAATGATTCTTCAAGCAAATATCATCCACAGAAGTGCAGGTGTAGCCATACTTATATCTGACAAAACAGATTTCAAGATAACAAAGTTAACAAGAGACAAAGATGAACATTTTATAATGATAAAGGGATACTACATCACCAAGACATAACACTTCTTACACTTCTTAATATGTATGTACCCAATCAGGGAGCACTGAAATATATAAACTACTAATAGAAATTAAGAAAGGAACAGACAAAAACAATCATAGTTTGGGATCTTAAAATTCCATTTATAGCACTAGCTAGATCATCCAAACAGAAAATCAATAAAGAAATATTAGCATGGAAGGGTGATAGGTGCAGCATGGAGGGGGGTCAATAGAGAGAAAAAGTGAATATCTGCAATACTTTCAACAACAAAAAATAAATTTAAAAAAAGGAATATTGGTCTTAAATGACACATTAAACAAAATGCACATAATTGGCATTTACAGAGCCTTTCATCCCTCAACATCTACCTGGGAAGAAAAAACTTACAAAAATCCAAGAAGCTCACAGAGTCCCAAATAAAATGAACCCAGAAGACCGGCACCAAGGCATATTACAATTAAATTGGCAAATCCAACAACAATATAAGTATCTTTAAAAGCCCACCAGAGAGATACAGAAATTACCTACAAAGGATCCCCTATCAGACTAGCAACTGATTTCTCAACAGAAACTCATCAGACCAAAAGGGAATGGAATGAAATATACAAAGTCATGCAAAGGAAGGGTCTGAATCCAAGAATACTGTACCCAGCAAGGCTATCAATCAAAAATGAGGGTGAAATCAGGAGCTTCACAGACAAAAAAAGGATTAAGGGAGTTTATTATCACCAAGAGCAATGCAAGAAATGCTAAAGGGTCTGCTGTAAAAAGAAGAAACAGGAAGCAAAGAAGGAACACAGGGGTAAACAATAAAAATGGTGACAAACAAGTTATTATCAATAAAACTTTAAATGTAAATAAATTAAATGCACCAATCAAAAGACATAGGGTAGCTGAGTGGATAAGAAAACGTGACCCATATATCTGCTATCATCAGAAAACCCATCTCAGAAAAAAAGAACTCACACAGA